CCCCAACTCTTGAAGCATTCTGATGTGGGAGTGGGTAAGTGAGACATGGGGAGATTTACTGACCAGCCTGAGAGAGAAGGGAGACACAGACCAGGGAGAGCCTTGAAGGCCATGTTAAGGAATATCCAGAGGTCCTTTGGAGGTCAGAGGGAGGCCACCGAAGAATCGTAGAAAGACCACCGTAGCGAGAGAGTAAGAACAGACTGAAAGGAGATGACCTGTTGCTATGGAGACTCATAGCTAATGGAGAAAAGAGAGTCCAGTGGATGTAGCTGGAGCTATCCAGGTCTGGTGATGAGGGGCTGTGGGAGTTAGAGGGGAGGGAGGAGTCAGAGCCAACTCGGAGCTCGCTGACTTGGGGAGCCACAGTGCCATTGCCCCCGGGGGAGGAGGCTGGGCAGGTGATGGGTTTAATTTTTGAAATCTGATTGTATTCCCCCCCCCACACACACACACACACACCTGACTTTCTGGTCGATCAGAATGAACTCGGGCCAAATACCTGTTTGCCTTCCTAGCTTCGGGAGACTCAACTGACTTAGCCAGGCAGGCTTAGTCTTGTTCCTGAGAAGATCCTGACATGCCACAGTTGATCCTCTCCAGCCCCTTCCCGAGACTCAGGAGAACGGATCCTCTGCCTCTGAGCTCTTACTACTAAAGGTTTCTTTCGTTTCCAGGGACCTACATACTTAAGTGAGAACAGCACATAATGGTAAAGATTTTGTGTGTGTGATATACTTACCACTTAAGCCTTGAAAGTTTTTAAAACAGGTTGTACTTCTGCCTCAGAAGAAATTTTCTCTGTAGATAGTGTAACTGATTTGAATTACGTGGGAGACTGGGACGTTCTAATTTTCTGTCCCATGAATGAAGTCCAGCATCATGGAGCGGTGGAGACCTCTCAGCCTAGCTGTTCCTCTGCCCACTTGTTTCCTGAAGAACTTCACCGGCAGTGCATCTGCCCAGGGGCTTCGTGGTCTTACGAGTGTACGAAAGGTCCTCAGAAAGCTCATAGGAAGTACGTGTTATGAAAGAACTACGCCTGGATTACAGAGTTATGTTTCCCCATAATAAATTTGGACTGTAATTCCATTTTCCATGAACCTTTTGGAGTCCCCTCATACATAGTGATAGAATTCTTGATCTTTGAGCAGGCGAATACCGAGCTATAACAGGTACCAACTCTCAGTTCTTGCAGCACCTCCTTGGCTAATAGCTGCTGGTTACTTTTAAGAATTATTTATTTAATTTTTAATTCATTACTGTTATTTTTAAATTTGCTGTAGGGCACACGTGCTCATGAGAGAGAGGGGAAAGAGAAGGGGGAAGGGAGAGAGCAAGGTGAGAAAGCGCCAGGTCCGGGACTTGAACCACAGCCATGGGGAGTCCAGTACCTTTAACCACCACACCACCTGCTGGCCCAGTAGCTGGCGTTCTGTGACTTTGTTGTCCCCTTTCATGCTGCGTGTGTGCCTTTTCCTGTCGCGCTGTCTGCCCTTTCATATGAATTCTCTGACTGGTGCAAGTCCTTTGCTGGCCGTATGTGATACAGAGTCACCCACTCTGGGGTTGGCACTTTATTCTTTGGGTGAAAATTTTTCATTTACAAAGTTCAATTTATTGATTTTGGTTTTTGTAGTTAGGAATGTTTTGCATCATACTTAGGACATTTTTGCCTGTTCTAAGTTACGAAGTTCCTTGAACTTTGTCAAAATTAAAATGGAAAGAATCCTTGACTCTTTTTAAGGTTTTTATTTTTTTTTATTTAATTATTTTTTGCCATAGAGTGAATACACTTATTAAAGAGAGACAAAGGGAAGGAAAGTGAGACATCACCCCCCACGGCCACTCCACAGTCCATTTTGCTCTCGGGATTTGGGGCACACACACACGCGCCTAGTGTGATTTTCAAGCCCCCAGGTCTGGGACTCACTCCTGCCTATTCCCTCTCCTCCTTCCTCCCTCTCCTCCCCCTCCTCCCTCTTCCCTCTTCCTCCCACCTCCCTCCTCCTCCCTCCTCCCCTGCCTCCCTCCTCCCCTCCTCCCTCTTCCCTCCTCCTCCCTTTCAGGTCTGCGATGCAGCGCGGGTCTGGGTTTCCTCCTGCCACTTCCCCACATTCTCCTTTACCTCCCGTGTGTCTTCATCCTCTGTTTCTAGGTCAGCTTGAAGCACGGTGGTGGTTTTATGTGCAGGTTTTAGATTTTCTGGAATAATGTCTGATTCCTCTGGTTCCCAATTGTGAGAGCTGAAATATTTATAACCTTTCTCTCCCCTCCCCTCCCCTCCCCTCCCCTTCCCTTCCCTTCCCTTCATGTGGTCGACCATGTGGGAGTCCATTGCCGTAACCACCTCACTACCTGCTGGTCCCAAGAACCCTTCGTCCTCATCTGGTGGTTCTTAACCTTGTGCACATCCGGGTTCCTGTGACGGTCTGTCTAAAACTCTGGCCCCATGCACGGCAGCGCACATGTGCACACCCAGACTTCCTGCAGTTTCCCGCTGACCTCCTTACTTACCTTTGGGCTCCTTGCTGGAGGGCCCCTAATCTCATCCAACCTGGTCGTTCTGCAAATGAGGATACTGAGACCCTGAACTGGAGCATCAGGCTGTCTACCTGGCCAGCTCAGGCAGTCGGGTCTCCTTGTTCTGGCTCCTTGCAGTGCTCACTCTGACACAGCTCCCTGTGGCCCGGCAGAGCCACCGAGGGGAAAGTGCTTTTTGTGTGGGCGGTTTCTATCCAGTCGGAGCAAAAACGGCTACACGGCGACACCCATCGACTTTGTGTATTAACCTTCAGTGGCTCCAAGGAGTCTGTGACTAAGGTGTTTGAAGTCGAGCTGGAAATTAATTGTCATGGCCGTGCATCTTCCTTCACCCTGACTCAGGGCCTCGAGGTTGCCGTATGGCGCTCACCGTGTGCCAGGCCTGACCTGGCTCCGCTCCGTCTTGGCTGGTTTCAGCTGCAATTCTGAAAAGCACCTTACGTAATAAGTGTCAAGCCTCAGTGGGCAAGTGAGTGAGGTTTAAGAGTGGTTGCTTTCAGGAGGAATTAGAAGGGGCAGTGGCAGGGAGAGGGTCTCTGAGCATGTTGCTGGGGCAGTGGCACCTGCAGGTAGTCGGTTGCAGATAAGCCGAGCTGTGGCGTCCGTTACTGATTTTCCTGGTACCCTGCCCTCTGGCCTGCCGCTGCCTGCAGTAACCTCCTCGTAGGCTCTCAGCTGACTGGGCAGCTTACAGGGCAGGGCACTTTCAAGAGAGTGCTTACACGCCAGTGCTAAGCATCTCCAGGAAGATTCTTGTTGCCTTGTCCACGGTCTTGCAAAGTGCACTGCCGGAGACATGCATTCCACATTGTGGTTTGCATCTCAGAGCGGACAACACTGTCTGGCCTTCGGCCCACACCCCGAAGCTCAGGCTGAATAATGTCACCTTCCACACAGAGGAAGCTGAGCCATAACCTGCGTGAATGGGATCCCGTTAGGTCTGAGGAACAGTGCCCCGTTTATTTTACCTCCTTTCTTCTTTCCCATTGGCCCCCAAGGACCTCTCCTCCAGTTTCACCACATACCTTGTGATGAGCTAGCCCGGGGGAGGGCATGCTCGAGGGTCAGCATCTGGCCGGGAAGGATTTTAACAGCATCTCCTGAGTGCCCACTCTGTATTCAGTGGTGGAAACAGAGATGCATGGGACAAGGTCCCTGTCCCCAAGGAGCCCGCAGTCCAGGTAGAGGGCTGGTCAGCAGACAGGCACCTGATAGTGTGGTCATTGCTGAGCTGGGGGTGAGCACAGGTAGGTGGGAGCAGCCCGGGAGTCCAGACGGTCTGCCCAGCCTAGAGAAGATGGAAAGGGGGGACACAGGGTTTACTGAAGTGGCAGGAGGAGCAGTTGCTGTGGGCTGGCAGGGGGATGCACAGTGGGTTGGGGGCTGGAATCCGGGCCCTGAGGGAGAGAAGGGGCCAAGGGTGTCCATTCATACACAGTCCCTCTCCTCCTTTTCAAAAGAGCTACTAAATTCAGAGGCTGCCACCGTTGCTCCTAACAAAAGATTCACTTATCCCAGTAACTCAGCTACCCTGGGCATCCATATTGCCCAGTCAGTGCTTGCCGAAGTGAGAAACATTTCCCCCCACATTGATCACAGTAACTTTTTTTTTTTTTTTTTTTTTTTTTTTTTATTGGAGAGATTTTTTCTTTATTTCGGTGTTTGTC